CATGAAGTCATCGAAGTCTTAGCTTCCTTAGTGAAGACCAAAATCGCCGAAGACGTGCGAAAGGCAGAACTGTTCACAATCATGGCAGATGGCACAACTGACAAGAACAGGAAAGAGATTCAAGGTATCGTTTGTCGGTATTTATCGTCGGACGGGAATGTTAAGGAACGATGTATTAACGTCAAGGGAATCGATGATCGCTCAGCTAAAGGTATTTTCAAATTTATCAAAGAAGCTTTGGTACAATTTAACATTTCAGTTGACGGCCTTGTGTCACAATCCTTCGATGGGGCAAGCGTGATGTCAGGCGACTACGGCGGCTTGCAGAGGTTAATTAGTGATTTTTGCGATCGGAATGTGTTATATGTACACTGCTTTCTCCACAAAATCCACCTGGTTGTCAGCTTTCTCATGCAAAATCTTGACGAAGTAAAGGAATATTTTGATACTACAGCAGCCCTGTACAAGTTCTTTAAGAAGTCAGCTGTGTTAGAATTGTATAACGGCACTGCATTGAAACGGCTTATTGAGACGCGATGGTCTGGTCACTTTGAAAGTACCAGCCATGTGCACAAAAATTATGGCGATTTGATCCAAGCGCTTATGGTGGCATCAAAAAATAAGAAGTTATCTGGTGAAGATCGAGCACAGGCAACAGGGCTCCTTAGCCTAATGGAAGATAATGAAGACCACGTGTTTGTCTTCATAACTTGTATGTTGATGGATGTGTTGAAACCTATTGATATTGTTGTTAAACAATTACAATCCCCGGACGAAAATCTTATTTCAGCATTGCACGTGGTCAACGCCGTCAAAGACGACATCAAATCGAAACGCGAAAATAATACTTCGAATGAGAAAGTTAAAAAGATGGTTGATGATTTCTTAGAAAGTGTGAGGATCACGTCAACCGACGGCGTGCAAGTGCAACGCAGACCTACAAGAAATACTGCTGTTCCCTCTCGTTTTGATGATTTTTTAATAACTGACCGTATCCCGAGCGCAAACAACAGTCGCACCAACTGTCAAATTTTTGTCGAGTGCTTAGATTTGCTGGATGCGGAATTCCTCCGAAGATTTTCTGAAGAAAACATCGCACTATGGGAAGCCATGCTGGCCTTATCGCCGTCGTCAGATAATTATCTTGACTATAATGCTCTCATACCCTTATTTGAGTACGCGGTGAATATTCCAGTGATAAGAGATTTCTATCAAAAAGAAAAATTATCACGCGAAGATTTAGAAGCTGAGTGCCGAATTTTTTCTCGTGTTTTTAAAGACAAAGAATGGCCCAAGAATGCAGCTGACAAAGTTGATTTGAGCGAGGTCGCTAACATTGTCATAAAGGAACACCAGAAGGGAGCTCCTGTACTATCTTCGTTGTACAAAGTAGCTATCACTGCTGGTTTCACATCAACGAGGGTTGAATGTGTTTTTTCATCCCTTACAAGAGTTGATTCCCCTCAGCGGAGGTCGATGAAAACAGAAAGAGAAGCAAATCTAGCTTATCTAAGTTTTGAAAGCGAAGTTCTGATAAATGACATTACCTTTGACGATTTTTACAAAGCTTGGAACTTGAAACCAAGAGCATTGTCGTTGTAATTTGACAGGTCGTGCATGTTTTGCATTATGATAGTACTTAACTGATTGATATTATCAATAAATGAGGCTATTGTATATTGTTATTATTGTCGTGTGTATTTTTTGTGAACACTTCACTTTCAACAGTTTGTTTTTACTTATTCCCAGTTTGCCATTATCTATACGGTCCCCTTGTTTCGGCAGAAGCTCAAACATTTTTATGATGTACAGTACCTACGTACAAGTGAGAGTCCCTCGAGATCGCACCACCCGTTCGGCAAAATTCCATTCCCACTTTATCGTTTCTGTTTGGGGAGTGCCCCCCCAAACAATCAGAGCCAGCTCCGGGTCTGCTGTAAATCGTACTAATTATAACAAATATACATCCAAAACTTTCACACCAGTTAGCTCTTCCAAAAAAAAGGTGGTTCAACGGGATCGGAAACGGTAGGACGACGTAAAATGCAAAAAACATGGTTTTTCCCTATCTCGCTCTATGATTTTTGACCGGTTGAGCCGCCATCTTGGATTTTCAAATTTGGCGCGCCTCTTCAGCCGAGTCAGCAATCTAGGTCTCCTATATCTATGGTCGTCACACTGGCGGAACGGTATCGAACATCCATTTAATATCCGTACCCCCCTGTCGAGGATCCGGGGTAAAGGGTTTTGAACTTGGAATTCTTCAGGGGTAAAGGGTTTTGAGCTTGGAATTCTTCAGGGGTAAAGGGTTTTGAGCTTGGAATTCTTCAGGGGTAAAGAGGTTTGAGATTGAAAATTTTCAGAGCTTGGAATTCTTCAGGTGTAAAGGGTTTTGAGCTTGGAATTCTTCATGGGTAAAGGGTTTTGAGTTTGGAATTCTTCAGCGTTAAAGGGTTTTGAGCTTGGAATTCTTCAGGGGTTAAAGGTTTTGAGCTTGGAATTCTTCAGGGGTAAAGGGTTTTGACCTTGGAATTTTGGAATTCTTCGGAGGTGAAAGGTTTTGAGATTGGAATTCTTCAGGGGTAAAGGGTTTTGAGCTTGGAATTTTGGAATTCTTCAGGGGTAAAAGGTTTTGAGCTTGGAATTCTTCAGGGGTATAACTATGAAAAACATGTATCCTCGACAGGGGGGGTACGGATATTAAATGGATAGCCCATCTCAAACATGGAGGTTAAAATTGATATCGAAAGTGAATGTCCAGTGCCATATCAAACATCAAATTTAAAAACAAATTTAAACAACGTCGAATGTATCGGCGATTTAAAGAAGAAGCTACAACCCTTACTCGGCGTTGCGGCGTGTGATATGTCTGTTTACCACAAGACACGACGGGAATTAGAAAACAGAGAGAAAATATCAAATTTGTATGTGCGAGAAGGAGACACGTTTATTGTTAAATTTATAAGCGTGTGCGATGTACATTTCTTATCGAAATTTCTTGATGATATGAGAGCGTTTGTAAAGGATGTTTGCGAAGCATTTTCAGACGGGGATCAAATAATGAAAAATATTGATTGGAATGATGATCGTTTATTAGCTGTTGGTAATAATTGTTATACAGCTGTGTTAGAAGATTTAATACGTAGGCGGGAAAGGTTTTCACCATGGAGATCCAAGCCAACAAGCGCAAACAAACATTATTTTGTACAAGAAGGTGGATTGGATCTGTTGGCTACAATCTATAACTTTGCCTCTAAAAAGCGGTATCCATTGCCAATATGGTATGTAATGCATCAGTCAATTCCAGCTGCGACCATCCCCCCCGCCCGGGACAATCCCCGGGCATTGATAAATTTTCAATTTTTTCGGGCAAATGCCCGGGGGTAGGGCCAAAAAAAGGGACAATGCCCCACCCTTGGGACGAAAAACAAAACAAATGCTCCACACGGCCAGGCCGACAAATTAGTCAATTTCAAAGAATGTACTACATTAATTACATGTGTTTTAACAATTTGTATTTATACCCCTGTTAATTGCTCTTTTGGGAATTTACAGAAACAAGGAAACTATCGTTTTTGTTGCAGATGAAAACATTGACGAAAGGCTGTGACACACTTGCTTTTATTGCAGAAAGTTTTTCATTGTAAATACAAGGAAGTTTAAGCTTCGCGTTTCCGGGAACGGCAAGCGGCAGATTTGAACTTTCTTCGCGAAATTTTCGTTAAACGTTTTCGTTTCATATTTTCTTTCTTGTGTCGAAAGAATAGTCATGCATTGCAGTTTTAAAACAGCAAGTTCATTTACTCTTTATTGCCTGATACCGTAATTTTTTTCTTCGCCGGCTGGCATTTGCCGTATAACGCGAAGCTTAAACTCTCTACAATATGTATAATATGGACTGAAGGAAAATCTTAAACATTGATTCACACTTGAAAACCAACATTCAACAATAATATATTATATAAAATTTGTTTAACATATTTAATAGTCTCCATTTTGGCATACAACAAAGGAAACTCGTGGCTGCAGTCTTTTCTCTGTGAGCGACAAATGCCCGGGGGTAATAACCCGATATTGACAAATGCCCGGCCCACGGGCGAAAACAAAGCTGCAAATGCCCGACCGTGGGGACAAGTAAGGGTTACAAATGCCCCACACTGTCCCGGGGGGGAGGGGGGATGGTTGCAGCTGGAATTGACTGATGTGTAAGGGGATATGGACCCCGGTCAACCATAGCCTATCGAAGGGAAGATGGCTGTGAAACTCATTAGAATAACAATATAACTCATTATCTATGTTAGCAAAAGTTTATTCATAAATCTGGTCCTTCACCTTTACATGTCTATTGTATTTTTGCCCCAACTAACCAATAGCAATGTTTTAGGAAAGTTACCTATCCGTGACTCGAACAATAGGGAAATTGGAAATTGCTATTGGTGGATTTGGAAAAAATACAATATTTACACATGTGATGGTGAAGGACTAGATTTATGAATAATTTAATGTTGAGTAACATAGATAATGAGTTATATTGTCAGTTCTAATGAGTTTCACAGCCATCTTCCCTTCAATAGGCTATGGGGTCAACTAAGGGGTGGACCATTAGAAAAGTGATTGGGGGGGGGGGCAAGCAAAAAAAATTATAAGTTGAAATATAAAAAAATTGTGCAAGGGTTTATTTTAAAATAAATTATCGACACAAGCAATCAATTTAAAAAAATACTCCCCCCCCATCACTTTTCTAATGGTTTGCCCCTAAGGATGATTTGTTTAGTAGGGTTCTTAAAGTATTTGCTTTTATTTTTATCCACCAAGAGAGCCATATATTTTTGTTACTTTAGTGTGGACTCGACTGTGGCAAGACACTTTAATGATCAGCAGACTGAACTGGAAATACGTTGTCTCTCTTGTCTGTGGTCTCTTTCTGAGACTAAAGAAGATCGTTCTTTACTTTTAAGAAAGATCGGTCTGGAGCCAATCCTTCACTCACTTCTCAAAGATATACCTGACGTTGTTGATGACAACAGAATATATGATGTCAGTCGTGCTAATGAACGTTCTTTGGGATGTTTAGGAGGGTATGAAATTTAAAACTTCAGTATCTTGCTAGGATACTGGGATTCACTGTTCCACTGTCACCCTGAGTTACTCTCGATTTCAATTTACTTTTGAAATCTGACTTCCAATGTTAATTTGTACGTTCGGAATGTTCGTTGCAAAGTTCCGAAGTTTGTTTTGAAGTTTGTTGCGATGATTTCGGATGATCAAGTTTATTGAGTTGTAGAGCTGTGCGGTTCCAAAAATTTTATCTCAGTTCCGTTTTTTTTGGAATGGAAAAACCTCGGTTCAGTTTCGGTTATTTTCAAAAAGAAGAACAGTACAAATGTATGAACTGATTTATGTATGTTTCGAACATTTTTACTAAATAGGTGAATTTATACCTTTGTAAGTTTGTATAAATCTCTGAATATTTTAAAAGAACAATTGGAATTTATTTATGAACATGAAATATTTCTTTTTTTAAAAAATTTAAAGCAAGTGCACAACAATAATTATCACAACTAAAGTATCAACTATTTGAGCACTTAGTATACAGTGCATATTGTGCACAAAGAGCACATTCTTTTTATTTTCCAAACATTTCAACCTGCAATCAGGTGGGCATTTGGTGGGTGTTACCGGTTCCAGGGGCGGATCTAGGGGGAGTCAGATTAGTCACGCGACTAACGTAAAAAAAATGCAGATAAAAAAAATTTGGATCAAGGTTTTAAAATTATTTCCCACCCAGCGCGCAAATATTTTCCTTCACTACGATCATGCAATCAACTCTCACACTCCACCATGTAAACTTCGATCAATTTTTGCACATTGAGCCAGCGATTGATTAGTCAAACGATAAGTCAAATAAGCAGTATTCAAATGAAAATTGACTTTTCTGTGTTTTAGCTGCCAGCTGGTGTAATTTGATTGGTCAAATTTGGTCTGACTAGAGTAAATCAATTTACCGAGTCAAATCCGAGTCCGAGTCAGTCCCGAGCCCAAGTCAAACGCCCGAGTCGCGTAAAAAAAGACGAAAGTGAAGAAAGTCGAATAGGGTTAGGAGTAGGTTTAGCGTTAGGGTACTAAGTCATTTTACCGACAAAGACAGTTAAACAGTGACTCAGACATTTGACTCGAACTCGGATTTGAGTCGGTCAATAACCTACAAACCCCGAAATTGAATAAAATTCACTGTTGAATAGGGTTAGGGTAAGTTAGGAGTGGGATTATGGTTAGGATTAGGGTACTAAGTCATTGAACTGCAAAGACCATCGATTAAACTATAACTCGGACATTTGACTCGGGCTCAGATTTGACTCGGTTAACCGACAAACTCGGTCTGACTACACATAACAGGCATATTGATTGGTCAAACCTATTTTGACTCACGATTGTGCAATTTTGACTTTGCATGATGATTTTTGACTAATCCTGCAAATAGATAGTAGCTTGTGAATGTGATTGGACAATTTGTGCAACAGAGTTAAAGAACATCTCCTCTGATTGGCCTTCTAATCTCTTGGAAGCATTGTGCACATATGGTAGTTACTAGTTAGCGCAATTTTACAAGCTAATTGTAGATTTCGAAAAGGTTTATACGTCGTTATTTGAAAATGACGATACATGTACAAAGCATGTAAGGGAGGGTTAATGTTGTTCAGTGGAGAATATTTGAAGGCTTCAAATATTCTAAAAAAAATTTAATACAAATAATCCACGAGTGACCTTTTGGTGAGGATGCAAGAAAATTGTCTTGGCCGAAACTATCAAGCTGAGATGTTGATTCCCCGTCATCTATTTCAAGATAATGTCATTTGAATTTTTAAATTTTAAACAAATCGTTGAATAGACTCCTTTCCCTCTCTCCCCCGCAGAGGCTTTAATTGGCCTGCGCTCCTTCGCCCAGCGGCTACGCTCGTGTTCCAAGATCCGCCATGTAAAGTGTAGTGAAATGTATCTCGTCATAATATTAAATCCTAAGAAAACTAAAGCCTCTGCGGAGGAGAGAGCTCCTTTCCCCTTTTGAGTGAAATTTTTATCTGGACAAGTCTGGACAAAAATTTCATCACAGCTTGAAAGAGCATCACAAAATTAGTAATATTCCGAAGCTTCGTTGCGAAATGTTGTAAAATGCGGATAATATAGCCTTGCGAAGTTTGCCGTTTTTCAGTCATTTGGTATTACAAACGGGAAATTGAAATTGATAATCAGATGATCAAACTGATGCGAAAAATCCTAGATCCGCCCCTGACCGGTTCTTTTGCGTATATTTTTCAGTGCTAAAAAAAGTACAGGAAGAACTGAATTTTTCGGTTAACCACACAGCTCTAGCACAGAATAAAGACATACAGAAGTGTAACTTCCATTACAAAACCGTAAGGCGCTTTAAAATTTGTAAATTTTTACCGAAATAGCTGGCGGTCATGTTCTTAGCAAGTGCCCTAAAGAGAGGCATTCACCCCATGGAATATTAAATTTTCAATGTTTTCAGGGGGGTGACTGCCTCTCTTTAGGGCACTTGCTAAGAATATGGCGGACTGAAAAAATCCCTTACGCACTTTTAATAAGAAGATACACTTCTGTATGTCTTTATTGTGTGGCTCTAGTAAGTTGTAAATGAACCAGCCAATCAAATGGCCTCCTATTGAATCATCGTAAGTCGTCAGAACAAATTTCAAAACTTTGCAACGAACATTCCGAAGTTACAAATAAACATTCAAAGTCAGATTTCAAAAGCAAATTGAAATCGAGAGTACTCCATGCAGTATCTGGGCACTTCTGGATACTGGTTACCATAGGCCTTGGCATCCCTGACCTATCCAAATAAGTATACAGTATCTGGGTCTCACTACACAAGTATATAATGACTAAATTAACATTAACCCATTAAGTTGCATTGTGCCCTAATGCAATGCGCCCTACTTTATTATTTTACTCTGTCTAACACTGGGCAATTTTACTCATCAGAGCACTGGTACCCAATGGGTTAAATTGGGGGAATCACTGTGATAAATCTGTTTTCATTTTAGATTTGTCGAACTGCCAGACGTCCCACAAATTTTTGCTGAAAACAAGGAAGCTTTATCAAAAATTGTCTGGCTTACATTCAATTCTTCAGACAACTATCACAAAGAGACTGCAGCATGTATATTATTTTGGTGCACTAATCACCCTAAGGCTGCTAGAAAGATCATTGAAAATCAATGTTATCGTTTGGTTCTTGAAAAGGCCCAAGGAATGTTATTTGTCACACCTGTTGTTGCGTGAGTAGCCTGAGTATATAGAGAATAATACATGGGTGCGCGGAAATACCAGATTTATTTCGAGTGTTGAACATGATATCCCACGAGTGAGCGCAGCGAACGAGTGAGATATCATGTTCAACACGAGAAATAAATCTGGTATTTCCAAGCACCCATGTATTTTTCTGTTTATTATATACGATAATTTCTGTTTATTACGATAATTTTCACATGTGAGATTATCATAAATAATCTCACATGTGAGATTATCACTTTTATCAGTGCTCGAAATCTCTATGAAGCACTATACTTTATATAATAAAGCGTGATAATATACCCTTCTGGAAGTAGTTCTGTGCAAACTCCGGGGTTTTCACCTCCGGCTCCGGGAAAAAAATTCCGGCTCCAGCAGAAAATTTCCAGCTCCGGCAAATTTGTGAAAATTCGAAATTTAATGGAAATTTCACATTTCAATGTGGAAACACTATCTTTGATTTTGATGTTAACATTAGAGTTAAAGAGGCAACAACACTTTCTAGTTTCAAAACTCTAATTTGGATAATTTACGTAATTGATAGTGTGAATTGCATGTTTAAATCTTATTACTACATACATTTGTGTAAAATAATTTAAATGCAGGTCCCTCATGAATTTCAGCTGAAGAGGCTAACCTGTTTAAATAAAGTTTTCCAATCCAAAAACACTTTGCATGAACATTTCGTACTATGTTTGTGGCAAGCCTATGCAGTATCAATGCGAATATTTACTTTTTTGTCGATGGATTCAGGATGTCCAACAGTAGTTTGCAGCACAAATAAGTGCTGTTGGAGTTTTGCCGGAGTTGAACAAACTGGCTCTAGCCTACGACCTCATTTCGGCCCACGAGCATCTGTGACGCAGGCTAAACAAACTCCAGCTCCGGCAAAATAGGCCAAAACTCCGGCCCTCTGCCGCACAGCACTATCTGGAAGGCACACAGCCTTGACCGTAGATAGACATTTTTAACACTCTCACGGTAGCCTATTTCTGCGGGGAGCGGGGTGTATCCGTTTCAGACCTGCAGACATTCTCAATTAACAGGCTGCTTTTGCCAGAATTTCTCTAACAATAAATTAAACCATCCTCTTTAGATACTTTCACAGTCTATTCTTGGCCAACATTCAAACTTTGCCCGAAGAAAAGCTTCCTTACGACGAAATACAGCAAATCAACCAAGTCTTAGAAGCTTTCCTGCATGTAGTTACTCCTTCTGAAATTGGCCGTTATGAAGCAAAGCATACTTATGTGTGGATAAGCTTAATTCCTTTTCTCCGGCTAGCTTTGGCAGGACCGAGTAGGCCTTTGGAGACTGAGAATCGTCAGGTTCGTCCCCAGGTCTCTGTGGATCCATGCTTGGAAATCGGAACCCAACCGGGTGAAAAAAGTTGCGATACGGAAATTTCCAACAACCGTGGAATTGGTCCATATAATTTTTCTCCGGTGGAAAAAATTGGCTTGTTCTGCCTTTGTCATTTGGCAAATTCCCCGGATAACAGAGAGCTGTTTAAAAAGGAAAAACTTGAAGATTATTTAATTTGTGTTTGTTGGTTTACACAACGTTGTCCCGAAGTCGCTGATTTGACACCAAAACTTGATGGATTCGAGCGCTTAGAGCCACCACGCTTAGAATCAATAGCAAAAGCATATCTTTCAAAATGTTTCGGTGAAAAAATTATGTAAGAAAAAACCGCATGAAAGAACCATTTTTTATGCCAGGTTGAAGTGGTTCTTTAACTTATATAATTCTTGGGTTTCACTACGGCATTATGCAGTAAATCTGACGGATTGATGCTTATTCGTATTGTATACCCTTGTATACCCTTGCGTATTGTATACCCTGAACAAACTTATAAAGATGCGTTGCTGTCGGCTGGTATCACCAAATTGGAGACTAGACGTGAAGAGCTATGTTTGAAGACACTCACGAAGATAACCAGAGGTGGTCCGCTTACACAACACGTGACTCAGACTAGATCGAACGAGCATAATTATTTTATTAGATCATTAAATAATTTATCAACTTATAAATGTCGAACTGATCGGTTTAAAAATAGCTTTTTCCCAAATACAATGGACCTTTCCCCTTATAACTAAAATTTCGATCTAGACAAAAATTTCATCACAGCCTGAAAGAGCATCACAAAATTAGTAATATTCCAAAGTTTTGTTGCAAAATCTTGTAAAATGCGGATAATATAGCCTTGCGAAGTTTGCCGTTTTTCAGTCATTTTGCATTACAAACGGGAAATTGACATACGATTCGGGTGTTGGGGCTGCAATTTCCCGTTTGTAATGCAAAATGACTGAAAATTGCAAACTTCGCAAGGCTCTATTTTCCTCATTTTACAACATTTCGCAACGAAACTTTGGAATATTACTAATTTTGTGATGCTCTTTCAAGCTGTGATGAAATATTTGTCTAGACTTGCCTAGATCAAAATTTTGGTTATAAGGGGAAAGGTCTATTAATATTGCTAATAGTAAACAGTGACTGGTGAGACATGATTTTAACTTTGTCCTAACAACCATTGTAAATAATCTAATATTATTATAGTATTTTAATGTAAGCACTTTGTACTTCACTTTATGTGCGAAATTGTGCTATTAAACATAATCTTATCTTATCTTATGCTGTACTGGAGTGAGAAAACCAAACACAAGGCTAATACATAAAACGAACAATCGACTCATTCTGATAACTGTGTTTTGTTTTAGAGTTGACCCCCCGTCACTTATGTGACATCATATGAAACCCAAGAATAGGTACTTTGTGAGAAGTCAAAAAGATAGGGATAAGTACTTTATGAGAAGTCAAAAAGTTATAAAGTCAATAGTGCATCACAAAATTTTAAATTGTTAAATGCAAGAAATTCACAATTTTGATGAAAATTCCTCTCAGGAAACACGGAAAATGTTCTTCGGAGGCTTCGGAAGCGCTGACGTTTTTGGGGCAGCATGCCCTCAGACCCGCCAATGTTTTCTGGGGGAGCATGCCCTCTGGATTCAGACTCGTACTCAGTCTCCCACCAAGATATATACATGTTATAATTTATCTTCGTCTAGAACACGATTAATTAATTAATATAATTTTTCTGCTAACCAAAAATTGTTAATCTATTGCATTATTGAGAAGGCGGGAAAGATATGAAAACGTTCGGAGGCTGGAAAAATATAAAAAATGCAACTTTTGCGCAACTCTTTACATCGGATCGAACTGCCTCGGATCGGATTCCGACAGAAATGTCCAAGAATTCATACTCAATTGATTACGTATTTTGAGATGAACGAATTATCTCCCAATATAAAGTATATGTTTTAAGGAGCAGTTTACACCAAACCATATTTGGATTTGAGGCTCTCGGCAAAAGTTAAAAATAATTTAATTTTTTATTTCATTGTGCTAATCTTCACCCCCTTTTTTATCGGAAAGCTTCAATCTGCTACCCTTCGCTGGAACACTTCTGCGCGTTACTTCCGAGAACCACGACCAAAATCAGCAACAAAGTTCCCTTCATTTGGCAATTCTGCCGGGGTCGCCAAATGTTACCTCGTGCCATACAGGTTACTTTTTGCCAGTTACGAATACAAATACATACACAATGTGTGCTCCAAAACTTTATTTATTATAGTTATACAAACTTTGATTGGTTATACAGATTATATATCACACTTAATATTTCTATCTTGATCTGACTTCGTCGATGACGTTACCTCTTCAAGAGCGTAAACTGAACTCTCTAACATGTGTTCTCTAGCACAGTCTATATCATGCACTATTTATAGTAAAGGTCCTTCCTGTCCAACCTTCACTATACACCAATAGATTTGGTTCATGAACTAAACTAAACTTAAGTTTAATTAAGAAAAATTTGAATCAAATTAAAATTAAACTTTTTAATTTAAATTTTTTAAAATTTTGATTAAAATCAATATATTGACACATATAATCAATACATTGACACATTCTGACACTTGCTTGCTTGCCTTTTTACTTTACTAATATTTAATACACGTATATATACAGCCGACTTACTTCCACTATACTCTATAGTCTATTCAGCGGAATTTCGTTAACTGACGGTTTATTCTTTGCTGGGAAATATTTTTTCTTGAGCAACTGATAATTTCTTCGTGTGAAGACAAACGCAATGCCAATGTAGGCACCAGTAAGCAACGTTACAGTATACAGCGCTATCTTTATGTCGATATCAAAATCCACGATTCTAGATATGAAGAGAGGAAACCAATAACTTAAGGCTGTAGTGGTCGACAGCTTGAGCAATATGACAAATTTATGACGCTTAACAATATTCGATTTCTGTGCAATGTTCCTGCTTGCCTTGAGTTTTTGGCGAATTCGATAAGCAGTGAGGATGAACATTCCAATAATGTACAACAAAAGACAACCTTGAAGGCCATATACATCAACATCAGCTGACCAATCGGGAGTAATTCGACCATTGATACAATCTCCAGAAATCTGTTTATAAATCCTTGCATCATCTTCCTTCCCATCTCCATTCGCGAATACAATCCGTTCATAAAACTTTAAACTTGACTGAACATCTTTCTTCAAAGATATAATAGGTTGATAAATCCTTGCATCATCTTCCGTCGCATCTTCCTTCCCAAGTACAGTGCTTTGATTAAACATCGACTGGGCATCTTCAAGTGCAGTGTCAGTGCTTTGATTTAACCTCCACTTTGACCGAAGGACATCTTCCTTCAAGGACGCAATATGATGATAAATCCTATATTATTTGCTGTTGCATCTCCATTCACAGATACAATGCGTTGATAAAACTTTAAGCCAGACTGAACATCGTTCTTCACCGACGCAATAGGTTCATAAAACCTTAGAACATCTTCCTTTACTAGTACAGTGTAAACAATTGTTATAATGACGGGAACTCCCCAGCTAAAGAAACTATACTTCAAAAACCTGTTCCACTTCTTCAGTTCATCAGATTTCACTAGCGTATTCCCACAAAATGTTCGCCTTAAGTGATAGATATTAACAGTAGCATTCATAATTATGCTATACGTCATAAACTTATTTGCCACAAACAGCCTAGCACACGGTATCTTCTGGGCTTTTCCGTATTCTATCACTCCGGAGTGTTTTCATCGCGGTTCCTAAAAATAGATTATGGTTAAGAATCAGTGCTTCTTCCGAAGTGCGAACATTCTCAGATTTTCAAAATTTACCTTTTCTAGCCATTTTTGAAAGATCAGTTTTCTTCCGCGCCTTGCGGCCATCAAGTTGTTTCGAATTTTCTGTCAAGTTAGAGACGCGTTCGTCTTGTTCGAGAGAAATGTCAACATTCACGGGGTTACCTTTAAATTCATATTTTAATTTGTTCGGTTCTGTTTTATCTTCTCGCCTGTCATACACTGAACCACCACCAGGATAAAAACAGGCGAAAATCAGACAGAAGGAAAAGAAAGCGACTCGATATAAGAGTCGAAAACTAAAGTCACGACCCATGTTGGAACTGCAAGTGTCGTTAACCAACTGTGTATTTTGGCAAAACACAAAGTTTAAAACGTTTTCAAGTTTTGACAAATGACAATCTTAATTTTTTTTGTAACATTTAGTCAGTTGTTATGACAACCAATGCGAAACAAAATTAGTACCGATAATTCTCTAATGGAATAATGCTTTGTATCGTTGGAAAACAAGGACCGGTAACCCCGAATTTTTTCCATCTCTGTTTTTTCTTCATTCATGTGCATGACAAGAATGTAGTAAAGCCATCTTCTGTAAAAAGGAAAAATTTCCTTTACCCTCCGAATTTTATTTGGCAATCATCAAGCGAAAATATGCGTGGCATTGACATTGTGTACCTTTAATATTGCGTTTTTCGTATTACAAATAATTTAAATACATGTTTTCTTATACAATTCGTTGGGTTTTAATATTTATAGTTCAATGGCGTTTTTCACCTGCTTTAGACATTTGTAGCGAATAATAGTTTTAAAATAGCAGGGAAACATAATATTTCAAAGCTATCAAAAATCAAGATAAATAGTTCTTAAACCGTTGGCGAAATTGGTTAGATTCTTGACTAGCATTAAGTTATTTTCGCCACCAGTGATATTCATCATTATAATACGCCTTGTTACACCTAATAATAATAATAATTTAATTTCCGCACATTCTACTTTAATTTACAATATTTACAAATACAAAAGGACAATATTATCAAATTAAGTTATGTAGATATGAGGAGGAGATCATTATTAACGGCTCATAAGAGCTTGTCGAGAATAGTAACCCGTATTTTGTTCAAGGCGTACTTATCAAAATATCTATATGTAATCGAAGAACGCAGTGGTAGAAATATGTTGAAACTAATAAAAGCAATTAAATAAAAGAAAAAGTTAATTCAGTTAGCAGCTACATTTCTTAAATAGTACTTAAATTTGTTTTTAAATTGAAATATGGAATAAATTTCAGTAAGATAATTTGGTAATGAATTCCACAAATGAGGACCAGAATAACGAAATGCTTTCTGGGGCAGCAATGTTTTCTGGGGCAGCATGCCCTCAGACCCGCCAATGTTTTCGGGGGCGAATGCCTTCTGGATTGAGACTCGCACTCAGTCTGTCCGCCGAGATAAATACATGTTATAATTTATCTTCGTTTAGAACACGCTTAATTATTTAATATAATTTTTCTTCTAACCAAAAATTGTTAATCTATTGCACTACTGAGAAGGCTAATTGTGCTAATCTTTACCCCCGTTTCTGTCATCGGAAACCATCAGTCTGCTTCCCTTCGCTGGAACACTTCTGCGCGTTACTTCCGAGAACCACGACCAAAATCAGCAACAAAGTTTCCTTCATTGGCAATCCTGCCGGGGTCGCCAAATGTTACCTCGGCCATACAGGTTTGTGTTTGCCAGTTAGGATTACCAATACATATACAATAGTTGCTCAAAAACTTTATTTATTATAGTTATACAAACTTTGATTGGTTATATATATTTTATATCACACTTGATGTTACCTCTTCAAGAGCGTAAACTGAATTCTCTAACATGTGTTCTCTAACACAGTCTATATCATGCACTATTATATATTATTTGTGGTAAAGGTCCTTCCTGTCCAACCTTCACTACACCAATGGATTTGGTTCATGAACTAAACTAAACTTAATTTTAATTCAGAAAAAATTTAAATTAAATTAAAATTAAATTTTTTAATTTAAATTTTATTTTTTTAATTTTGATTAAAATCAATACATTGACACATTCTGACACTTGCTTGCTTGCCTTCTTACTTTACTAAGATTTACACTTATATACAGCCGACTTACTTCCACTATATCAGCGGAATTTCGTTAACTGGCGGCTTATTCTTTGCCGGGAAATATTTTTTCTTGAGCAACTGATAATTTCTTCGTGTGAAGACAAACGCAATACCAATGTAGGCACCAGTAAGCAACGTTACAGTATACAACGCTATCTTTATGTCGAAATCAAAATCCACGTTTCTAGATATGAAGAGAGGAAACCAATAACTTAAGGCTGTAGTGGTTGACAGCTTGGGCAATATGACAAATTTGCGACGCTTAACAATATTCGATTTCTGTGCAATGTTCCTGCTTGCCTGGAGTTTTTGGCGAATTCGATAAGCAGTGAGGATGAACATTCCAATAATGTACAACAAAAGACAACCTTGAAGGCCATATACATCAACATCAGCTGACCAATCGGGAGTAATTCGACCATTGATACAATCTCCAGAGATCTGTTGATAAATCCTTGCATCATCTTCCTTCCCATCTCCATTCGCAAATACAATGCGTTCATAAAACTTTAAGCTTGACTGAACATCTTCCTTCAAAGATATAATAGGTTGATAAATCCTTGCATCATCTTCCGTCGCATCTTCCTTCCTAAGTACAGTGCTTTGATTTAACCTTGTCTGGGCATCTTCAAGTACAGTGTCAGTGCTTTGATTTGACCTCCACTTTGACTGCAGAACATCTCCCTTCAATGATGCAATACGGTGATAAATTCTTATATTATTTGCCGTCGTATCTCGATTCGCAAATACAATGCGTTGATAAAACTTTGAGCTTGACTGAACATCGTTCTTCACAGACGCAATAGCTTGATCAAACCTTAGAACATCTTCCTTTACTAGTACAATGTAAACAATCGTTATAATGACGGGAACTCCCCAGCTAAAGAAACTATACTTCAAAAACCTGTTCCACTTCTTCAGTTCATCAGATTTCACTAGAGTATTCCCACAAAATGTTTTCCTTAAGTGGTGTATATTAACCGCAGCATTCATAATTATGCTATACGTCATAAACTTATTTGCCACAAACAGCCTAGCACACGGTATCTCAAACAGTTTACCTACATGAGAATACAGTGACAAAAATACTACAAGGTAAGTTTGCCACAACAGCAAGGCGAAGCTAAAACTCATTAAATTCAAACCAGGAAGTGTGCGCAGTTCTGGAAGCATGCAGTAAACTATCAACAACAATAGCAAAGAAATAATAGAAAGCGCTAAAGCACATAATGGTGCTATAATAATCTTAAAGTTTGTAATTACGTAAATTAGTCTTAAGTTCTCTTTGCCGCATACATAAGGTTTACCATCTATCAGCGCATAGTCATTTCTTTTGAAATATTGACCGTTATCTGCCGAATACACAGCAAACTGCTTTGTCACAGTGTAATATCTTGCATTTAATTTATAAGAACGATAACAGGATGCGGGTAATGACTTTTGCCACGAATTTCGCGTTCTCCAAATCGCTTGGACTCTTGAATCATTGGAAGCACACATTTCAAGGCTGTCGTGGTTTAATCGATATTCGCGATAATCGTACATCTTGTGGTAAACCAGCGAAAGGTTTTTAAAAACATTGTATTGATTACCGTACTTTACTTTGACCAAATCATCATTGCAGGACAATCTGAGCTTTCTTGAACAAATTGCAAAATACCCCAAAATCACTCCATAATCTTGCCTGGTGAAATTTTGATTGGTAGGTTTGAAGAGAACAGTAAAGTTTGTATCTAATGTGTAATTTTCGGAGTAAAAACCGTCCACAGATACATTACAATGTTTGAAAGCTAACGTTATCTTTTCTGAAACAATGAAATTCCGCCACTTTTCTTTAATGACACGGTCAGAAGAATTACAAACTTGTAGTCCATCGTCCGTTATTCTGTACTCATCATAAGAGTACATTCGACCTTGGTACATCATTGAGAAGTTGTTCCATACTCTGTATTCATCTTCATAATTTATAGTGAAGGTAAAATTGGCGCATTCGGTCACACATGTTATAAGTTGACCTTCAAACACAGCATAATCGTACTTTGGTATCAGCTTGTTTGCAGCTGAAATCAGAATTCCAAAATTCTTAAACACAGTGTATTCCCATCGGTCGAATTCAATGTATGTAATGGGTTTATTGCAACTTTTTTCATATATTGTCGCCTTTAGCAAGTAATTACGTAGTTTCCAAATATTCCTTACGTAGTTATCAGTGGAGTTACAAATCTTTATGCTATCATTCAGAACTCGATATTCAGTATAATCGTACACCTTATTGTTCCTATAGAGTATTGAAAAGTCAGTCCGAACTTTGTATTCATCATCGTATTTTATATTGATGATTGAATCGTTGCACATTACTAGATCTTCCTCGGTATACTCTGTTGATTCGGGTCTCAACTTTTCTTGGCATATATAAGGTTTACCGTCTTCCACTCCATACTCATTTCTTGTGAAATATTGACCACGACGTCCCAAATAGACAGTCAACTGCTTATTCACAGTGTAATACCTTCGATGCAACCAAGACTCTCTAATGGGTTCATTACAACTTTTTTGATGTATTTTCGCCTTCACCCATTTATTGCGTACTTTCCAAATATTCCGTACGTAGTTATCAGTGGAGTTACAAATTTTTATGCTATCTTTCAGAACTCGATACTCAGTATAATCATACACCTCGTTCTTATAGAGTATTGAAAAGTCCGTCCGAACTTTGTATTCATCATCGTATTTTATATTGATGATTGAATTGTTGCACATTAATAGATCTTCCTTGGTATACTCTGTTGATATGGGTCTGTAGTTTTCGTTGCATATTGTAAGTTTGCCGTCCTCCACTCCATACTCATTTCTTGTGAAATATTGGCCATTACCTCCCAAATACACAGTGAACTGCTTATTCACAGTGTAATACTTTTCGTACAACCAATACTCTCTAATGGGTTTATTGCAACTTCTTTGATGAATTGTCTTTTTTACCCATTTATTGCGTACTTTCCAATTATTCCGTACGTAGTTATCTGTGGAGTTGCAAATCTTTATGCTATCATTCATAACTCGATACTCAGTATGCTCGTACACCTTGTTCTTATAGAGTATTGAAAAGTTAGTCCGAACTTTGTACTCATCATCGTATTTTATATTGATGATTGAATCGTTGCACATTAATAGATCTTCCTGGGTATACTGACTTGTTGCGGGTCTTAACTTTTCTTTGCATATTTTAAGTTTACCGTCTTCCACCCCATACTCATTTCTTGTGAAATATTGATCATTACCTCCCGAATAGACAGTGAACTGCTTATTCACAGTGTAATACTTTCGGATGAACCAAGAGGTTCCAAAGGCTCTATTGCAACTTATATAATGCAATCTTGCGTTTAGCCATTTATTGCGTACTTTCCAAATATTCCGTACATCGTTTTGAGTGGAGTTGCAGATCTTTACGCTATCATTCATAACTCGATACTCAGTATAATCGTACACCTTGTTCTTATAGAGTATTGAAAAGTCAGTCCGAACTTTGTATTCATCATCGTATTTTATATTGATGGTTGAATCGTTGCACATTAATAGATCTTCCTGGGTATACTCAGTTGATGTGGATCTTAACTTTTCTTCGCATATATAAGGTTTGCCGTCTTTCACCGTATAGTCATTTCTTGTGAAAAATTGACCACGACCTCCCAAATAGACAGTGAACTGCTCATTCACAGCGTAATTCTCTCGAGAAATCAAAAAGAATTTGGATTTGTTGCAACTTTTTTCACGCATTGTCTCCTTTACCCAATTATTGCGAACTTTCCAAATATTCAGTACGTAATTATCAGTGGAATTACAAATCTTTATGCCATCATTCAGAACTCGATACTCAGTATAATTGTACACCTTGTTCTTATACAGTATGGAAAAGTCAGTTCGAACTTTGTATTCATCATCGCATTTTATATTGATGATTGAATCGTTGCACATTAATATATCTTCCTGGGTATACTCGTTTGATATGGGTTTGATCATTTCTGTGCATATATAAGGTTTACCGTCTCGAACCACATAGTTGTTTCTTGTGAAATATTGACTCCTAAGTGCGAGATAGACAGTGAACTGCTTATTCACAGTATAATAGTTTCGGTAAAACCAAAAGGTTCTAAGGGGTTTATTGCAACTTTTTTCACGCATTATCCCCTTTACCCACTTATTGCGTACTTTCCAAATATTCCTTACGTAGTTATCAGTGGAGTTACAAATCTTTACGCTATCATTCAGAACTCGATACTCAGTATAATTGTACATCTTGTTCTTATAGAGTATTGAAAAGTCAGTCCGAACTTTGTATTCATCACCGTATTTTATACTGATGATTGAATTGTTGCACATTAATAGATCTTCCTGGGTATACTCTGTTGATGCGGGTCTGTTGTTTTCGTTGCATATTGTAAGTTTACCATCTTCCACCCAATAGTCATTTCTCGTAAAATAGTGACCATCACCTCCGGAATAGACAGTGAACTGCTTATTCACAGTGTAATACGCTCGGTTAAACGAGAAGGTTATGATGGGTTTATTGCAACTTTTTTCATGAATTGTCATCTTTACCCACTTATTGCGTACTTTCCAAATGTTCCTTACGTAGTTTTCAGTGGAGTTACAAATCTTTATGCTATCATTCAGAACTCGATACTCAGTATAATCGTACACCTTGTTCTTATAGAGTATTGAAAAGTCAGTTCGAACTTTGTATTCGTCATCGTATTTTATACTGATGATTGAATCGTTGCACATTAATAGATCTTCCTTGGTATAGTCGGTTGAAATGGGTTTGAACTTTTCTATGCATATATAAGGTTTACCGTCTTGGACCCCATAGTCGTTTCTTGTGAAATATTGACTCCTAAGTGCGAGATAGACAGTGAACTGCTTATTCACAGTGTAATACTTTCGGTAAAACCAAAAGGTTCTAATGGGTTTATTGCAACTTTTTTCATGCATTGTTAACTTTACCCATTTATTACGTACTTTCCAAATATTCCTTACGTAGTTATCAGTGGAGTTACAAATCTTTATGCTATTATTCAGAACTCGATACTTACTATAATTGTACAACTTGTTCTTATAGAGTATTGAAAAGTCAGTCCGAACTTTGTATTCATCATCGTATTTTATATTGATGATTGAATCGTTGCACATTAATAGATCTTCCTGGGTATACTCTGTTGATTCGAGTCTAAACTTTTCATCGCATATATAAGGTTTACCGTCTTGAACCCCATAGTCATTTCTTGTGAAATATTGACTCCTACCTGCGAGATAGACAGTGAACTGCTTATTCACAGTGTAATACTTTCGGAACCACCAAGAGGTTCTAATGGGTTTATTGCAACTTTTTTCATGCATTGTCAACTTTACCCATTTATTGCGTACTTTCCAAATATTCCTTACGTAGTTATCAGTGGAGTTACAAATATGTATGCTATCATTCAGAACTCGATACTCAGTGTAATTGTACACCTTGTTCCTATAGAGTATTGAGAAGTCAGTCCGAACTTTGTATTCATCATCGTATTTTATATTGATGATTGAATCGTTGCACATTATTAATAGATCTTCCTGGGTATACTCTGTTGATTCGGGTCTAAACTTTTCATCGCATATATAGGGTTTACCGTTTTCCACTACATACTCAGTTTTTGTAAAGTATTGACTTTCAGCTGCCGAATAGACAGTGAACTGCTTATTCACAGTGTAATACTTTCGGTACAACGAAGACTCTCTAATGGGTTTCTTGCAACGTTTTTGATGTAATTTCGCCTTTACCCATTTATTGCGTACTTTCCAAATATTCCGTACGTAGTTATCAGAGGTGTTACAAATTTTTATGTTATCATTCTGAACTCGATACTCTGTATAATCGTACACCTTGTTCTTATAGATTATTGAAAAGTCCGTCTGGACTTTGTATTCATCATCGTATTTTATATTGATGATTGAATCGTTGCACATTAATAGATCTTCCTTGGTATAGTCTGTTGATTCGGGCCTCAACTTTTCTTTGCATATATAAGGTTTACTGTCTTCTACTCCATACTCCTTTCTTGTGAAATATTGACCTTCTGCTGCCGAATAGACGGTGAACTGCTTATTCACAGTGTAATACTTTCGGTACAACGAGGACTCTCTAATGGGTTTCTTGCAACGTTTTTGATGTATTTTCGCCTTTACCCATTTATTGCGTACTTTCCAAATATTCCGTACGTAATTATCAGAGGAGTTACAAATTGTTATGCTATCATTCAGAACTCGATACTCAGTATAATCGTACACCTTGTTCTTATAAGGTATTGAAAAGTCAGTCCGAACTTTGTATTCATCATCGTATTTTATATTGATGATTGAATCGTTGCACATTATTAATAGATCTTCCTGGGTATACTCTGTTGATTCGGGTCTAAACTTTTCATCGCATATATAGGGTTTACCGTTTTCCACTACATACTCAGTTCTTGTAAAGTATTGACTTTCAGCTGCCGAATAGACAGTGAACTGCTTATTCACAGTGTAATACTTTCGGTACAACGAAGACTCTCTAATGGGTTTCTTGCAACGTTTTTGATGTATTTTCGCCTTTACCCATTTATTGCGTACTTTCCAAATATTCCTTACGTAGTTATCAGTGGAGTTACAAATCTTTATGCTATCATTCTGAACTCGATACTCAGTATAATCGTACACCTTGTTCTTATAGAGTATTGAAAAGTCGGTTCGAACTTTGTATTCATCATCGTATGTTATATTGATGATTGAATTGTTGCACATTAATAGATCTTCCAGGGTATACTCAGATTTCGAATCAATTTCACGTCTGTTCCGGAGATGTTGAGTTGTGAGTGAAGCGAACTTTTCTCTTTTGGCTGCTTCTCTTGAGTCATTTTGGTAAAAAATTTGATTTTCCAATGACGATATGCTTTTTATGCCGCAATTAATTTGCCATTTTGTCTCACTTGAGTGGGAGATGGTTGTCGATTCTTTGCTTGGAACTTTTACCTCAGACGGCGAAGGAATTGAAGAAGACGGTTCTGGGCTCTTCTGTATTCTATCACTTTTGAGTAGTTTCATCGCAGTTCCTAAAAATTAATTATGGTTAATATATTTGCCGTTTCCGAAGTGCGAACATTCTCACATTTTCAAAATTTACCTTTTCTAACCATCTTTGAAAGATGAGTTTTCTTCCGCGACTTGCGGCCATCAATTTGTTTCGAATTTTCTGTCAAGTTAGAGACGCGTTCGTCTTGTTCGAGAGAAATATCAACATTCACGGGTTTACCTTTGAATTCATCTTTTAATTTATTCAGTTCTGTTTTATCTTCTCGCCTGTCATACTCTGAACCACCACCATGATAAAAACAGACGAAAATCAGACAGAAGGAAAAGAAAACGACTCGATACAAGAGTCGAAAATTAAAGCCACGACCCATGTTGGAACTGCAAGCGTCGTTAACAAACTGTGTATTTTGGCAAAACACAAAGTTTAAAACATTTTCAAGTTTTGACAATCTTAATTTTTTTTGTAAAATTTAGTCAGTTGTTAAGGCAACCAATGCGAAATAAAATTAGTACTGAGAATTATCTAATGCTTTGTATATATACTGTTGAAAAACAAGGACGGTAACCCCGAATTTTTTCATCCATGTTTTTTCTTTATGTGCGTAACAGAATGTAGATTGTAGTACAGCCATCTGTATAAGAAAGGAACAATTTCCTTTATCCTTTGAATTTTATTTGGCAATCATATCAAGCGAAAATATGCTTGGCATTGACATTGTGATTTGTGTACCTTTAATATTGGATTATTGCGTTTTTCGTATTACAAATATTTTAAATACATGTTCTCTTAAACAATTCGTTGGGTTTTTAATATCTATAGTTCAATGACGTATTTCACCTGCTTTACTCTTTAGACATTTGTAACGAATAATAGTTTTAAAATAGCAGGGAAACATAATATTTCAAAGTTGTCAAAAATCAAGATAAATAGTTCTTAAACCATTGACGAAGTTGGTTTGACTCTTCACTAGCATTAAGTTATTTTCGCCACCAGGTTTGTTACACCTAATAATAATAATAATTTAATTTCCACACATTCTACTTTACAATATTTACAAATATAAAAGGACAATATTTTCAAATTAAGTTTTGTAGATATGAGGAGGAGAGCATTATTAAGCCCATAAGATCTTGTCGAACGTACTTATCAAAATATGTATGTAATCGAAGAACGTGCATGGTAGGAATATGTTGAAAGTAAGAAAAGCAATTAAATAAAAGAAAAAGTTAATTCAGTTAGCGGCTATATTTCTTAAATTGTACTTAAATTTGTTTTTAAATTGAAATATGGAATAAATTTCAGTAAGATAATTTGGTAATGAATTGCTCAAATGTGGACCAGAATAACGAAATGAAAATTTTCTGATATTTGTTCTTATTTTTACCCTGCTCGGTTTCCATTGTTCTTAGCGGGGAGTATATTCAATATTCCCCTCTAATCAATTTCCGTTTAATAATCCCCTCTAATATTCACCTGCAATTAATAATCCCTTCTAATGTTCACCTGCAATGTCTTTGCAGCACAAAAAAATGAGAAAAAAAACAACATAACGAAGGCAATATGACATTAAGAATTATTTCTATTCTTACTCATTAATGCGACCTCGCAGTGTGAAAAATAAGTACGTTATTTTGAGGCACCTCGGGGATATGTGTTTATTCACCTCCTCGGTGAATAAATCACATATCCCCTCGTTGCCTCAAAATAACCTATACTTGGTTCTCAGTAGCACTTCTGGTATTATAATGATGAATATCACTGTTAAATGTAAAATAATTTTGGAATGTTTGAGGTAATAACGATTTCATTTTCATACATTTGAACATGAGTAAACCTGTTTGCAATTTGTTCAATTGCCAATTCCAGCTTTTAGTTTATGCGTGCAGGGGACGATGGGAAGTAAGGTCTCGCATTGCTGATTATGCTGAAAAAATAAAAATGGTGGCCGTGTAAACACGGAGTGATAGCTTATACTTGACAACTTGTAAATATTGAAATATTTCGGTTGTTTCTGTAGTTTTTATTGGAATTTTTCAGCATAATCCCATAATCTTCCCATCATCCCCTGCAAGCATAAACTAAAAGCTGGAATTGCCTATTCGCGTTGAATGGAAAAAAATATCATATTTGGAAAAAAGTTGTGTGTGCCTGTGTGGCTCAGGTAACCGACATTGGCAATAACCTTACTACTACTAGGTTCGATTCCTGCCAGATGGCAGAGGGCCGACAGTTGTATTTTTCGCAACTGTTCCTGGTTAGGTCTAATCAATACATATACAATAGTTACTCCAAAACTTTATTTGTTATAGTTATACAAACTTTAATTGGTTATACAGGGTGTATAAAAAAAAACGCAACCTCGGAATTTCCTAAGAAATCACTTTGCATTTCTTAAGCATAAAAGATTTTAGGCCCCTGGGAATTGAAATCGAATTGCTAATAGATCATATTACTGTTGTTGTGCATTAAATAAATGCATAAATTTTGCTTTATGCAACTCGCGTGTGCAGTAATTTTGACAGTTGTGCTATTTTAAATTCCCAGGCGCCTAAAATCTTTTGTCTTTAAAACAATGTCGATTTCTTGGGAAATTCCGAGGTTGCGTTTTTTTTTACACACCCTGTATATATTTTATATCACACTTAATATTTCTATCTTGATCTGACTTCGACGTCGTTCATACTAAACTTAATCAATACATTGACACATTCTGACACTTGCTTCCTTACTTAATTACTTATTTACACTTATACAGCCGACTATAGTCTATTCAGCGGAATTTCGTTTACTGGCGGCTTATTTTTTGCTGGGAAATATTTTTTCTTCAACAACTGATAATTTCTTCGTGTGAAGACAAACGCAATACCAATGTAGGCACCAGTAAGCAACGTTACAGTATACAACGCTATCTTTATGTCGAAATCAAAATCCACGATTCTAGATATGAAGAGAGGAAACCAATAACTTAAGGCTGTAGTGGTTGACAGCTTGGGCAATATGACAAATTTGCGACGCTTAACAATTTTCGATTTCTGTGCAATGTTCCTGCTTGCCTGGAGTTTTTGGCGAATTCGATAAGCAGTGAGGATGAACATTCCAATAATGTACAACAAAAGACAACCTTGAAGGCCGTATAGATCAACAGCAGCTGACCAATCCGGAGTAATTCTACCATTGATACAATCTCCAGAGATCTGTTGATAAATCCTTGCATCATCTTCCTTCCCATCTCCATTCGCAAATACAATACGTTCATAAAACTTTAAGCTTGATTGAACATCTTTCTTCAAAGATACAATAGGTTGATAAATCCTTGCATCATCTTCCGTCGCATCTTCCTTCCCAACTACAGTGCTTTGATTTAACCTTGACTGGGCATTTTCAAGTACAGTGTCAGTGCTTCGATTAAACTTCCACTTTGACCGAAGGACACCTCTCTTCAAGGATGCAATATGGTGGTAAATCCTTATATTATTTGCCATCTCATCTCGATTCACAAATACAGTGCGCTCATAAAACTTTAAGCTTGACTGAACATCGTTCTTCACAGACGCAAGAGGTTGATCAAACCTTAGAAAATCTTTCTTTACTAGTACAATGTAAACAATCGTTATAATGACGGGAACTCCCCAGCTAAAGAAACTATACTTCAAAAACCTGTTCCACTTCTTCAGATTTCACTAAAGTATTCTTCATCAGATTTCACTAAAGTATTCCCACAAAATGTTTTCCTTAAGTGGTATATATTAACCGCTGCATTCATAATTATGCTATACGTCATTAACTTATTTGCCACAAACAGCCTAGCACACGGTATCTCAAACAGTTTACCTACATGAGAATACAGTGACAAAAATACTACAAGGTAAGTCTGCCACAACAGCAAGGCAAAGCTAAAACTCATTAAATTCAAACCAGGAAGTGTGCGCAGTTCTGGAAGCATGCAGTAAACTATCAACAACAATAGCAATCTCGTTCCCCGAGCATGCCCGTTCGCAGGTTAAGGGTGGGCATAGCTCTGGAGAAATCGAATTGATTCACGTTGAATTTCCAACGTGAGTTCTACGCATGCTCGGCAATGTTGCAAAATATAAATAAAGTATTTAGAATTTCGCGTCGAAAATTTGATACATTTTACACTGAAATTGAATTGAAAACAACTAAAAATTCTGTGGGAAATATGTACGAAAGCTTCGGTTGGATAGGGATACAGCTACCTGAAAAATACAAGGAGAACTTCGACGTTTCGAGCGAAGGCGCTTTGACCTATGACTGTGCTGTTAGTGTTTGTATACATCGTATTTGACCTTTGCTGATAAATATAATCTCCTCAATAATAAGTATTATATATTTTTATGCTTTAAAATTTACATTTAACTCTTCTGTCAGAATTTATGGTATACGTAGTGTTGGGTATGAGTATATAAAAGGTCAAGTACGATGTATACAAACACTAACAGCACAAGTCGAAGCGCCTTCGCTCGAAACGTCGAAGTTCTCCTTGTATTTCTCAGGTAGTTGTATCCCTATCAATCCGAAGCTTTCGTAAATATTTCCTCCAGAATTTCTAGTTGTTTTCAATCGGTTTCAGTGTAAAAAGTATCAAATTTTCGACGAGAAATTCCAAATACTTTGTTTATATAGAACTCACGTTGGAAATCCAACGTACTATCTGCCGTTAGCCAATCACAGGCCTGAATCAATTCGATTTCTCCAGAGCTATGCCCACTCTTAACCTGCGAACGGGCATGCTCGGGGAACGAGATTGCAACAATAGCAAAGAAATAATAGAAAGCGTTAAAGCACATAATGGTGCTATAATAATCTTAAAGTTTGTAATTACGTAAATTGGTCTTAAGTTTTCTTTGGCGCATACATAAGGTTTACCGTCTAGCACTGCATAGACATTTCTTTTGAAATATTGACCGTTATCTGCCGAATACACAGCAAACTGCTTTGTAACAGTGTAGTATCTTGCATTTAATTTATAAGAACGATAACAGGATGCGGGTAATGACTTTTGCCACGAATTTCGCGTTCTTCAAATCGCCTGAACTCTTGAATCATTGGAACCACACATTTCAAGACTGTCGTGGCTTAATCGATATTCGCGATAATCGTACATCTTCTTGTTGGAGACCAGCGAAAAGTTTTTGAAAACATTGTATTGTTCATCGTACTTTACTTTGACCAAATCATCATTGCATGACAATCTGAGCTTTCTTGAACAAATTGCAAAATACCCCATAATCACTCCGTAATCTTGCCTTGTCAAATTTTGATTGGTAGGTTTGAAGAAAACAGTAAAGTTTGCATGTAATGTGTAATTTTCGGAGTAAAAACCGTCCACAGATACATTGCAATATTTGAAAGCTAACGTTATCTTTTCCGAAACAATGAAATTCCTCCATTTTTCTTTAATGTGACGATCAGAAGAATTACAAACTTGTAGACCATCATCCGTTATTCTGTACTCGTCATAAGAGTACATTCGACCTTGGTACATCATTGAGAAGTTGTTCCATACTTTGTATTCATCTTCATACTTTATAGCAAAGGAAAAATTGGCGCACTCCGTCACACATGTTATAAGTTTACCTTCAAACACAGCATAATTGTGCTTTGTTATCTGCTTCTTTGTTGCCGCAATCAGAATTCCAAAATCCTTAAGCACAGTGTATTCCCATCGGTCGAACTTAATGTATGTAATGGGTTTATTGCAACTTTTCTGATATATTGTCGCCTTTACCCAGTCATTACGTAGTTTCCAAATATTCCGTACGTAGTTATCAGTGGAGTTACAAATTTCTATGCTATCATTCAGAACTCGATACTCAGTATAATCGTACACCTTGTTCTTATAGAGTATTGAAAAGTCAGTCCGAACTTTGTATTCATCATCGTATTTTATACTGATTATTGAATCATTGCACATTAACAGATCTTCCTTGGTATACTCTGTTGATATGGATTTGAACTTTTCGTCGCACATATAAGGTTTACGGTAACCGTCTATCACCCCATAATTATTCTTTGTGACATATTGACCGCTACTTCCCAAATAGACAGTGAATTGCTCATTCACAGCGTACTTCTCTCCGGAAAACAAAGTGAAAATGGATTTGTTGCAACTTTTTTGATGCATTGTCGCCTTTACCCACTCATTACGTAGTTTCCAAATATTCCGCACGTAGCTATCAGTGGAGTTACAAATCTTTATGCTATCATTGAGAACTCGATAGTCTGTGTAATCGTACACCTTGTTCATATAGAGTATTGGAAAATCAGTCCAAACTTTGTATTCATCATCGTATTTTATATTGATGATTGAATCGTTGCACATTAGTAGATCTTCCTCGGTATACTCTGATGATGTGGGTCTGTCGTTTTCTTTGCAAATTATAAGTTTACCATCTCTCACCCAATAGTCATTTCTTGTGAAATATTGACTCCTAGGTGCGAGATAGATAGTGAACTGCTTATTTACAGTATAAAAACCTCGGACCAACCAGGAGGTTCCAAATCGTTTATTGCAACTTATATAATACATTTCCAAGTTTACCCATTTATTGCGTACTTTCCAAATATTCCGTACATTATTTTCAGTGGAGTTGCAAATCTTTATGCTATCATTCAGAACTCGATACTCAGTATAATCGTACACCTTGGTCTTATAAGGTATTGAAAAGTCAGTCCGAACTTTGTATTCATCATCGTATTTTAAATTGATGATTGAATCGTTGCACATTAATAGATCTTCCTGGGTATACTCTCTTGATTTGGGTCTTAACTTTTCTTCGCATATATAAGGTTTACCGTCTTGAACCCCATAGTTCTTTCTTGCGAAATATTGACTCGTACCTACGAGATAGACAGTTAACTGTTTATTCACAATGTAATACTTTCGGTAATACCAAACGGTTATAATGGGTTTACTGCAACTTTTTTCATGCATTGTAAACTTTACCCATTTAGTACGTACTTTCCAAATATTTCGTATGTAATTATCAGTGGAGTTACAAATCTTTATGCTATCATTCAGAACTCGATTCTCCGTATAATTGTACATCTTGTTCATATAGAGTATTGAAAAGTCAGTCCGAACTTTGTATTCATCATCGTATTTTATATTGATGATTGAATCGTTGCACATTAATAGATCGTCCTGGGTATACTCTGTTGATGTGGGTCTGAATTTTTCATCGCATATATATGGTCTACCGTCTTCCACGCCATAGCTACTTCTTGTGAAATATTGACTCGTAGGTGCGACATAGACAGTGAACTGCTTATTCACAGTGTAATACTTTCGGTGAAACCAAAAGGTTCTAATGGGTTTATTGCAACTTTTTTCATGCATTGTCGCCTTTACCCACTTATTGCGTACTTTCCAAATATTCTTTACGTAGTTTTCAGTGGAGTTACAAATTTTTATGCCATCATTCAGAACTCGATACTCAGTATAATAGTACACCTTGTTCTTATAGAGTATTGAAAAGTCAGTCCGAACTTTGTATTCATCATCGTATTTTATATTGATGATTGAATCGTTGCACATTAATAGATCTTCCTGGTTATACTCTGTTGATATGGATCTGAACTTTTCTTGGCATATATAAGGTTTACCGTTTTTAGTGTGAAGTTTCTTCGAAACTTCACAGTATTGTGATGACTGGGAGGAAATTCAAACTTATCAGTCAGTCAGTCAGTCATTCAGTCAGTCAGCCAGTCATTCAGTCAGTCAGTCAGTCATACAGTAAACTTTCCGGGGGGTGTATACGATTTATGTTCGTAGTGATTTATTGTGCTTTGTCAGTACTTTGAAGGTTATTTAAGCAATTTCAGTTAACTTATTTACATATTCTGTTATCCTTTTGCCAAGTTCACAAAAATTTCGAGGAATCGCTTTTGTTATTGTGTTTTTTTGTAAATTTTAGAACATTCGCTTCTCATGTTGTGTAAAGGATCTTTACCCCGGAACAGCCGATTTTTTTTAGTAGCGCAAATGCGCATGCGCTATCAAGCCGTAGATCACGATGGCGTGACGATATGCTAGGAAGGAGTGACAGTGTTGTTTTCAGATGTATAAACATTTCAGACGTGAATATTGAGCAAATTTTTGAAAATCTACGCAATATATAAATTGATCTTATGCATTACGGGCGTTCAATTAAGTGTCGATAATATTTAGACGGTATATTCATTATACAGAGCTAGGAAGGAGCTAGACCGCCTAGACAGTGCAGTCAACACTCAAGTGTATAAACATTTCAGACGTATTAAATATTGAGTCGAAAATCTTTGAGATTCTAGGCATTCAATTGAGTGCTGATATTATTTTCACGGTATAATCATTATACGGAGGTACAGTACGTACGAAGAAGCGAGACAGTGTTGTTTTCAAGTATATAAACATTTCAGACATGAATATTGAGAAAATCTTTGAGATTCTACGCAATAATATAATATATAAATTGATGTTATAATTACCGGCATTCAATTAAGTGCCAATCGATATTATTTAGACCACCGTGTATTCATTATACATTGTCATTGACTGTATAAGGTGCTACATCACAGAACTCAGTACAAAGAGCGAAAAATTGCATCAGATCTGCATCAGATCAATAAAGCGTAAACAACTATTAAACAGAAGCGGGTGTTTGTACAGGCGTTTACGAAGAAAATATTGCGAGACGAAAGAAATCAGTTGAGTCAGAGCTCCTTATTTAAATAAGAAAGACGAGGAGATAGCCAATGTGTTATCGCCAACGTGTTATCGCCAATCGCTTGGTTCGCCAACAAGATTTATGCAATGGAAGAAAAAAGCAAGGAGGTACATGTAGCCAACATGTACTGTCACGGACCTTGTTTACTGTCTAGCACAACACCGTTGTCAACGGTGCAAACTCGTGTTCAGTGCAACGATAACTCTACCAGATCTTACGAGAATCAATCTGTAGTATTCTGTACACAGAACTGTATCAAACCTTGTCAAAACTGCTTTAAACACTGCAGCTATAACTGTGAAACTATTGAAATCTAAAGTGACATTATTCAACACATGCGAAAAGCTGAAAATAGACACAACGTGACCTTCGAAAAGTCAAAGGTCAATGAGACTTGTTATTGTGAAACATGTCACAATTAGGTTAAAATGCGGAAGCGGATGGAGCGGATCCACGGAACGGATATGCGGATAAAATATGGAACGGATGAAGATAAAGTGCTTCCTTTCAATGATATAACGACGTAGTGCTTATTATTTATAACATATTGTATACAGCTATTTCAATTATAGTTTTAGATAAGTTTAGCATAGCAGTAGCCTCGTGGGGATGCTTTTAGCGACAGCTGCAAATACAAATGCAAATGAAAATTTAGAATATGCAAAATTTGGTTGTTGGTGAAACAATTGAAATTTAGCATGCGTGTAGCATCACAATAAATAGATAAATTGTGTCAGTTTCACAAGGCACGTTTCTGATGTGTCAGGCTTGTTTCAAACGTCGTGCGCCGAGCGCATGAGATGAAATGCCTTTGGTAATTGTTTATTTTGTAGTGTAAGCCATCAGCTTTTCTAGGTTGTCGGCGAACCTATATAGTTCTTGCAGTATCTTTTTCAATTTGAAACTTCACACTATCCTTGGATCCCTAGTTGTTCTCAAGATGATAAATGCTTAAGGAAGTTAGTCTTGGACTGCCTGGGATCACCTTTGGCATTATTGTCAGTAAAGTTTATGGAGCAAAACTCTTGCTGCAGCAACTGCTCAAGAATGCGCAAGTGCAATGGAACCACCAAATGTTTGTCATGAAGACGATAAACATGTGGAACCTCCACTACAAAGTGTCAGTGATGTTCAGCAGGTTAAAATAAAAAAAACAAATGAAAAAATATAGGCTAAACTTGGGACAGAATGGTCATCATATTGGAGGTATTGACACACATACCAGTGTTACATTAGAGCTCATTGAGTCAGTTGTTTCAAAATGTGACCATATTATGTCAGCTGAAGATGTTTGTGAGCTTTGAAATTTGGAACATACAACAGGTATAAGTTCGAATTGCTATATTAAGTTTTATAATATAGCATTCATAGGTGTACAAGACAGGGGTTGCCCCCCCCCCCCAATCTTGGAAAACCATGGCAATTCAGGCAAATGCTATGAAAAATCAACAAAATTATGGCCGATTTATCAGAAAATAGGTTAACAGTAAATTCAGGTAATTTCATTACAATCCTCTATAAAAATTCAGGCTAATTTTCAAATTGCCCCCGGAGACACATCAGTCCTGTATGCCTTTAAAACAGTACCCACGCTCTTCCTCTTGTAGTTTTGTGCAAGTTTGTGTGTGCACACTTTGAGCTGGGTTGATCATATATTGAATAAAAGATCGCTAACATATTTTAGGTGCGGATAACAAATAGATTTTGTTCCTCATTTGTGAACTTGTCCAACAAAGTGCATGGAAATGGTGTTAGCTTAGAATCTGCAATTACCAAATATTATTATAAGTAATAGCATAGAAAGAGGCGAATTAGCTATTAAAACGTCCGCCCGATGAGGGTCGTTTAGTAAAATTCCCTTGGGCGCCGCTCGATGAGGGTAGGATTAGAAAAAATGAATATAATGAGGTGTATTAGTTATTAATTGCCCTACGAGAACAAAGGGAATACCCGCAATCATGATATTACTAGGAGTTACTATCGCAAGGAAAATGCTGCCAATATGTACATGTAGGATGTGCTACAAAAAAGAGCGTTTTTCACTGTATGTATGATTTATTGTCTTGCACATCATCGTTCCTCAGTTACCTTTGTACAATTATATCTTACATCTAATCTTATGAAAAGTATATTTTAATATACTTAACAGTGCGACTTTGATAGTTGACACATAATATAAATGATAAAATGTGAATATTATTGAATGATTTTGTCACTCGTACAACTTTTAATTTGGCTATTCAAACAATTGATTTAAAATAGTTGAATTTATACCTACTGGGATGTTATTGCTTATTGGGATGTTGAAATTATGTTTGTTTTAAATACATTTAATTGATATTCCATAAATTCATTTTGTATGATTTCATTGACCTTGACGTTGTTCAAAATCATTTTGTATTGTATTGAAACTGTATGTCTATGACCTATGTTATGTACTATATTAACCCCTTGAGTCGCATTGCACCCTGATGCACCCTACTTTGAACAGTATTTTACTCTGTCTAACACCAGACGATTTTACTCGTCAAGGGGAGAGTGCTGGCGCTTAATGGGTTAACTGATCTATCTGCCCATGTGTCTAGTTAACCCATTGGGTCGCATTGCACCCTGCTTTGAACAGTATTTTACTTTGTCTAACGCCAGACGATTTTACTCGTCAAGGGGAGAGCGCTGGCGCTTAATGGGTTAACACGCCCAAAATCTGTACTAAAACTGCTAATTCTGTTTTGTGATTGGCACAGTTTAATCAAAGAATCCTCCCGTTGAACCAGAGCCTTCACGATATTTCAATTTATTATTAACTGAAGGCTCTGGAATCCAGGATAGCTTGCCATTGAATACAGTGCAATGCTTATATTTCTGAATGAATAAGATCATACTCAGAACAGGTCAGAACTGCAAAACTATATTGTTAGAAAGAAGTTGAAGTTGTGAGCATTATTGTGGTAACACAGCCATATGTATATATCAATGTATGTCAGTAGAATCATGTTTATAGGCTTTATATATAACTGAGGCCTTATATAAGTCATATCTTATACAAAAAGTCAGTTGATATGCTATATTACATGTAATTGCTGATAAGTCCATATATGCAGACAACAATCCACACTGGGTAGCTCTAGGAATCTTGTTAAGCCTGATTTAACAACATCCCGCGTTTGTTTTTAAACTATAAACATAGAAATAGAACGTACTGAACACTATTATATACTCGCCTTTGGCTTTGCACATATTAAGTGACATAACAAACAAACTAAAAGTTCACTTGCTTCTTGTATCAGCATAAAGGCATTAATCATTACTGTCGATTTGGTCGGGAATAGATCAGTGATTCAGTGGGTATTATAATTGCTGATATATTCTTGAAATCATATTGTTTCAATGCCTCTATATTGAAGTTTAATACACTAAAGTGACTAAACAAGTATAAACAGCAGATTTAAATATAAATGCCTTCATGTATTATAAAATATATCACCAGACAGGTAGACAGGGCACACGGCACGACTACATAACTATACGAGAACGAAATAAAGCCATCCTTACCTGAATTATTCAAAATATTGTCGATCATTCTTGCGCCAGAGACACAAAATAACACCGTGCTTTATTTACCCATTCATCTTCACAAATATTACTCGGAATTTTTATGGAAATTCACATTATTTTATGATTTTTATTTTTCTGTCCGTTTATAACAGTCGCCATGTTGTGAACAAACCCCCCTGGGAACAAAAAAATAATATCAAAATAGCTAGTTTTGGCCCGTCCGTGGATGACAAAATGACATAAATCGAGATTGTAGCGGCTATAAACTCGGCGGTCACGTGGTAAGCACACCACATGTAGAGATTAAAACTGACATTATATTGTACCAAACTGCACTAATCATATAAAGCATATACTTTAACTACAATGAACATATAGACAACAAATGGTCCATGGTGGGAAAGGGGGTTTGAAACAATTGCAAAAGAAGCATGCAATTGAATAACAAGTCTGCAATTTATGGACAGTTTATTTGTCAACAATCCGTATTAATACAAGTAACTATTTGACTATGTTGCTGACACATAAAATTTCTATATGTCAAATTGAAAAATAAATATAATAACATAGACAAGTGCTTTAGAACTGGTATTTTCAAAAATCAGCATCAATGATGATAAAATCTACTTAAAAAAATTAATAAAATATACATACAATTTATACACTGAATGCACAGCCTTGTCAGTCGGGTTCTTAAAGGACTTTTTGATGGTACGTCATTTAGTATAGTTTTATGGGCTCTTACCCAGTCTACCAGACCTATATAAACACTCGGACGCAGAATTTGAGTCATATATTTGCAATCAATCGTTTGGAATCCTTTTAAGCGAAATATGAACAATTATCGAGTCTAAATGTCCGATCGTAGCAGTGTGCAACCGGGTAAATGCTCGCGTGTCTTAACTCAAAAAGGCTTTCATAATGAGCTCGTTAACAAAACAAAGGCATTCAATAAAGAAACAAAGAAACTTCAAAGCGCTATTGATAAACTCTATGAGACGTTCAACAACGCCGAAAATGTGGGAATCACTGAAGCGCTCAAGTCTGTGATGCTCAGTAAAGACGTTTTCGAAAATGTAGTATTGTCTTTAAGAGAACTTTCGGCCCTCGATCGGTGGGGTGAATCAACTGAAGTTAAAGATACAGTCAATTCTACGGCAGCAAAATTTCTTCAGGCTACAGACGAAGCTATCCATGAGGCAAAAAGGAGATTACATCTAGCGGATGAGATCATCCATGCAGCAGGCTGTAAAACTACTACATCATCAGTAGAAACATCAATTAGAAGCGGTTTGCATTCCTCTCTGAAATCCGAACACAGGAAAGCCCTTGCCGATGCAGTGGCTGCTAAAGAACAGGCTGAGTACAAGATGATAATCGCACGTAAGATCAACGAAAGGAAACAATTGGAAGCAAAAGAAGAACACCGTAGATTAACAGAGAAGGCTCAATATGAACATGTGGCAATTCTAGAGGCGAAGAAAACAGAAGCCATTGCAAAAGCCAAGCTGGATGCAATAGAACAATCTATCACTGATGATGAAATAAAGTCACACGGAGATA